ATTATGACAGTGCTGTTTCTTTATGCAAAAGGATGGAATTGGAGGGAATCAGACATGGTGTTGTTACTCTTAACATCCTCATTAATTGCCTCTGCGGTTTAGGTGTTCTGAGTTTTGGATTCTCTACCCTCGGAAAAATGTTCAAGCTTGCTATTGAACCTGACGTTATAACATTCAACACGCTGATCAATGGGCTTTGTGTCCAAGGAAAATTTGCTGAATCAGTGACAGTGTTTAATGAGATGGTTCGGGATGGATATCAACCTGATTCAGGGACTGTTGGTTTAGTTTCTCAGAGCTTTTATTTTTTTAATATTTTTTATAAATGATAAGTTTAAATTTTTATTAAAAAAATTTAAAAATTGATTTTAAAGATAGAAAAAAATGAGTAAAAAAGAAGTTTATCAAAAGTAAAAATTTAAATCTTTTGAGTTTTTATTGTTTAAAGTCTTTTTAAGGTAAAAAAAAATTTAAAAATATAAATTTTTAAGAGAGAAATTTAAACTTATGACACATAAATAATGTCAAAAAACTGAAACTCCAAAAAGCTAACCCAAACATGCCTTTATCACTTACGGTACACTGTTAATGGCCTATGTAAAATAGGAAAAACTGCTGAAGCTATTCAGTTGCTGAAGAAGATAGAACAAGGTGGCTTCCAGCCTAACGCTGTAGTATGCAACACTGTCATTGGCAGCCTTTCTGCCTTTGCAAGGATAGGTTCATCACTGAGGCATTCAACCTCTTTGAAATGAATGATAAAGGCATCCTCCCTGATGTTTTCACTTATAATTCATTGATTCAGGCTATGTGTGATTCACAAAAGTGGGAGGAGGTTAAAATTTTATTGAGTGAGATGGGGGGTCAGGGTATCAAACTAGATGTTTACACTTTTTATATATTGGTAGATGCATTCTCCAAGGAGGGTATGGTGTCAGATGCTCAGAAGCTGATTGAAGAAATGATTAAGCAAGGCATTGAGCCTGATATTTTCATATTTAATGCATTAATTGATGGATATTGTTTGCGTGGAGAAATGGATGAGGCAAGAAAAGTATTTGATTTGATAATTAACAAGGGATATGTTCCTGATGTATTTAGCAACAGCATCATGATCAATGGATACTGTAAGGCTAGAATGGTAGATGAGGCTGTGAAGCTCTTTCATGAGATGTCTGACAGAGGTTTACCCCCAATACTGTAACTTACAACACTCTTATAATGGGCATGTGCCAGGTAGGAAGGCTTTGCACTGCACTTGAACTTTTTGAGGATATG